TGACAATTCATTTTCAGTGCAGTACTTGCCTGCCTTCTGAAATAGCCTCCTGAAATCCAGGTATATACCGAATGCCTATTGCTTGATTGAGAAGTGCATGAACGCTGATACCGTCTCTTTCCGTTTTCCATCCATGCTGGTCTTTGGGCATGAAGCAAATGAGCTGGATCTCATCGACCAGTTTGTCCCTGTGAGACTTGGTCTTTTTATTGGTAAGGTTTAGCGGAAAAAAATGATGCAGTGATGTCAGTGATGTGAAGGTTCGTCTTTTAGATTCTAGGAACTCTAGACTCGGACCTAGCGTTTGGATTTCCATGCCATCACCGTCACCACGAGTCCATGAGGCCACCAAGAGACAGTACTGACAGTCAGTATACAGTACTGTAACTATTGATTTTGAAGCAGCCTTGTTTTGGGTACGACGCCCAGGATGTCCATTCAGACGGGTTGGCAGCAGATTCTCAAAGGCATGATGGCGTCAGGGGATCGCCAAGAACTTCAATTCGCTCCCCTGGAACAGAAGTTTGTGCCTTCTTTTTCAGATTCAGAAGAGGTTGATGATGCAGCTGAAGAAGATGGCAAGAAGCGGGAGTCCCAATCCCAGGATGACGCAGCCCATGCAGCAAAGCGAGTGAAAACGGAGAAAGCTGCTTCCACGCAGGACCCATCCACTGCAGTGAAGGGAGAGCATGATGAAGTTCAAGAAGTAGAGGAAAGTTTTGAGGAAGCCTTGCATGCAGAGGTGGAACACTTTCTGCAGGAAGGAGATCAGGAGGCGGTGTCAGGGTCGCCATCCTTTCTTTCGGACAATGAGGAAGTGAAGGAAGTGAGGCCCACCGTGAAAGTTGTTCTCTTGAGAGGCAAAGGCTTGGTCACCTTGGAGAATGTTGTCCAGTATGCTTTGTACAAGGCTGGTTTGTACAAGTACTATGTGGATCGATGCGTGGGGAAAACTCTGGAGGCACTTGACTTCGAGGAACTGACGGCATTGATCGAGCAAGCCAAGAAGCATTCTCAGCTCATTTCGTTCATGAAACAGACGCACCAGCGTGAAGATGTACCCCCCGACTGGATTCGTTGCTTTGGCTCTGCAGAAGAGACTGCTGGTGACGAGCTTCGTTTTTTTGTGATGTGGCTTGCTTATGATTCGCTGGACGCCATGGATGGCAAGGATGCTGAATCTGCTTTGGAAAAGGCAGGGGCCCCTTCAGGCACTTCAGGCCCTGAAGTTGGGTCGATTGAGCCAAAGGAGTCGATCGAGAAGTCAGAAGTTGCCAAGGATGGCAAGAATTCCACGGATGCTGAAGCTGCTTTGGAAAAGGCAGGGGCCCCTTCAGGCCCTGAAGTTTCAGAAGCAGAGCCAAAGGAGTCGATTGAGAAGTCAGAAGTTGCCAAGGATGGCAAGAATTCCACGGATGCTGAAGCTGCTTTGGAAAAGGCAGGGGCCCCTTCAGGCACTTCAGGCCCTGAAGTTTCAGAAGCAGCCAATGTTGAGGAGATGAAGGGGTCGATTGAGCCAAAGGAGAAATCAAACGTTGCACATGATCCCGAAGCCACAGTTCTTGCACAACCAGATGCGCCAAAGGAGGCAAGTACGGTTGAGGTTCAGGCTGACGCCTCACTGACCTCACCTTCGGCCGCAGCTTCCCTTGAGAAGGAAACATGCAAAGGTTCAGATTCAGATGCAGCAACGATTGCAGATGAGGCCACTGGTGTGCAGTCTCAACGGCCAGTTTCTTCAGAACTCGAGGCTGGACCGGCTATGGAAGTACAGCGTGATGTTGCCCCAAAGGAGCCCGAGCCTGCTGAGTCCTCAGCGCCAGTCAATCCGAAGAAGATGGAAAAGGAAGAGGGTGAAAAGAAGGAGGGCGCTCATCCGGGCCGCTCGCATTTGGAGAACAAGGGCAATGACAAGGACGCGCATGCAATTGGCTTGTGCAATGGTCAATGATCACAATGTCAATGAGATGATTTGCAGCTAGTTTTCCATTTTCCAGTCAGATTCATTTTTCAGGCTTGACATTGACATTGACATATATTTCCAGATAGATGATACAGCCAACCAAATCAGTTTCCACTTTACAATCCAGTTATTTTTTTCTTAGCTCCTTTTCACTGCTGTTATTGAAATTCAAGATGGCAAGGAAGATGAGATGCGCAAGCAGCAGCAGCAAGTGACCAAACCAGCTGATGACAAGGCAGGACCAAACAGTTCACTTCAGACTGACTGATGCCATGAGGATTATGGACCTGTTTTGCGCCAGAAATTCAGGGGTTTACATTTTTGGCCACTTCAAGGGGGCAATGATTGGGATTGTGACAATGTATGAAACGAGTTTAATTGCAATCCATTTTGGATACGCTAAACTGGGTAGACTGCCTAGGCTGCGCTTGGTGTCCCAGTCCCAGCTTCAGAAAAGAAAACAGACGATGCGCAGCAACCGGCTTCAGAGGACAGCAAGCCGAGCCGTAAATTGAAATTGTGGTGGTTGCTGCTTCTGTCCATCATCTTGCTCTATATTTGCATTGGACGTTTTTCAAATCACGAATCATGAATCACGACTCACAACTCACGACTCACGACTCAAAATTTATTGGCCCCTTTTCTTCCGGCCATGACAGCCATGGTTAAGAGTCAGCAAAGAAGGTTGAATATGACAAAGTTGCATCACAGGGTTACACTTTCCAGGATGGTTGATTTACTGACATGTCTTGTGTGGATTGGTGCTGCCAAGATGTTTTCCCTACATGTCACTTGTGATCCCAGTGCAGCCAGTGCAGCAACCGAAGGACGACGCAGAAGAGGCTTCTGCCAAAAGAGAATGGATGTGGCGAAGCAAAGCTTCACCTTCCCTCCACCCATCTATGGGGCCTCCGACTGTACCTCCAAAAGCGAAAAAGAAGAAGGAGTGAGTGACCCGCTGGGCTGCCAGATCTTAGTCTGTTGCATTGGCCTCACCTGTACATTCAGCTGTTTTCCAAGACATTCTTTGTTCTTTGTCATCCCATCCCTTTCAACAGGAGCAAGAGATTGAAGCTGACCAGCAGGTTTTGTCTGCGTTTTGGTCAGCACAGCAGCAGCAGCCACAGCAGCTGCCGATGTCAAAGAATGCAGCACTGTCAGGCAAGATATTGCAGACAGAGTCCCGAGTTCTGACAAGCCCTGGATAAGCTAAACTATATAGGTCTGTAGTCTGTAGGTCTGTAGGTCTGTAGGTCTGTAGGTCTGTAGGTCTGTAGGTTGACAGAGTTCCAAGCTGCGAGCCGATGAGTGCAACCAGCACACTGAACTTTTGCTTGGTTTGTTGACACCTTCTTGGCCATGGAAGGCGCCACTCCCAAGATAAAGGGGTCACCAACGCCAAGACCAACAGCTAAGTGACTTGGGGCGGCCGGGCGGTCAACTTTTGAATGCATGAGGCTGGCTGGAAGGTTGAACTGTTGAACTTCATCATTGCGCCACTAGTTTTCTTTTTCCCACTGGCAAATATTTTGCACATGCATCATCATGAAGTTGGAAAAACATTTCGTGCCATTGGCCAGTGTCGCAGTTCTCTCAGTCCATGTCACACGGGTGGCAATTTCCTTTTACAGCTGGGCCGAGCCGAGCCAACAAAAGAAGCAGCAGTAAGATCAGTGGGATGAATGATCAATATGACTGGTTGATTGCCAGGATCACCCTGCATTAAAGAAGCACTTTATGCATTGAAACCCGCAACATGGTGTCGTCATGTTGGAAAAGGTGATCGGCCAGGGCCAGGGCCTGCAGGGCAATGAATCCTATGAAAAACGTTGGCGAAGTTTCTTCATCTAACATAGACCCTGAACTTCTGAACCTTAGAAGCGTTTGCCATGTTGAGAAAAATATGTGTTCCAAGTTCCAAGTTCCAACTCCAACACGCATTTGGCACTTGGCAGTACTTGGCAGTACTTGGCAGTCAGAGTCAGGGTCTATTTTATTGGCAGATAGCAGAGGGCCGAGGGAATGTAGGTTGGTGCTGCAAGCAGTATGACTTAATGCAGCCACTGCGCACTTTACAGGACCCCCACTGTTTTGAAAGGGCCAGTGATGGCCGGGTGCAATAGAATTCTGGACGATTGCTGCATGCAGTTTCCCTCCTCAGACTGCCAGCGAGACATCGAATCAAGGGCAATTGAAAAAATGAGTCTGTTTGGATTCGAATCCTTTTTGACTCATGCAATTTTCAGTGAACATGTGGTCAGCTAGTCAGCCAAATTTTTGACACACACAAACAATGATTCAGTGATTCGGTGGAGGTATAAACTTGATGCGGCCAGGCCAGGCTGGGTTGCTGCAGCTCATCAAATGCGTTCAAGTCAGGAAAAAGGTCAGAGTGTCAGCTGTCAGACACACAGTTCTTGTACAAGTGAACAAACTGAGAATTTCTAGGATTGAAACTTGAAACTCTTGAAACCACTGATAAGCTTGAGTAGCCATCGATTGCCAGGCGGAAAGGGTCTGGACTTTCGCTTCAAGCCCTGGGATCTTTGCCGCACTGCAAACTGCAGGCCACTTCTTCTTTTGCTTCAATTCTACAGTTCGTTGGCAAAGGCAACGACCAATTGATTGCAATTCAATCCACTAATCCAATGGTGCCATTGCCATTCACTGTGTGTGACGATGACCGTGAACACTTTCTTTGCAGGAATATGCTATTTATTAATTCCCAAATTTCCATTTGACATTTGATGCTCGCGCCTCGCCGTAGTTGGCATTTTGCCAGTCCCTGTAGGGCCCTGTAGGGGTGCAGGGTTGCAACTAAAGTCATAATTTATGTCCAAGTCTAATTTCACCTGTATGATTTGGATTTCAAACAAATTCACGTTGCGTGAGTTGTGTGTGAAAAAGAAACCATTTTTCTCGCTAGAGACAAGATTGCAGAACTGCAGCACTCATGCACTTGTGATTTCATGCGATAGTTCCAAGAACAGTTGAACAGAGCCTCCAGTTTTTGCTTCATCTTACCGCTTACCATGCCATGGGGAAAAGGCGGCAGCCTTCGTCTTCTGTTGCTGATCAAAAAGGTCTGGAAGCAGATTCTGCAGGCTCTGACTCAGATGATACTTTGTCGTCTGATGATCCCAGCCAAACTTCTGAACCTAAAGGCCATGTAGAATCAGAGGATGCCTTGGCCCAGGTTCAACAAGGCATCGGCGTCAGTGATGGCAGGTGCATGGAGGAAAAGCAATCAATGACTGCGACAACCAGGCAACAAACAGACATAGACCAGGCTGGGCAAGAGGGAAGTGCAGATGCAGACAGCAAAGCAGACGATGTTTCCAGGGAACTCCACTGCAAAATTCGCCAGTTGGCTGCAGCTGAATCTTGGCCAAATGGGCCAGACACCCTGCATGGGTTGTTTTTGTGGCCAGAGTGGAATTCAGCCCGACTTCTTGATGTATCTTCGATGAACCTCATGAAGGAACGCGTGGAGAGGCTCCTGTACCTTTTATCCTTAGATATCGAAATACACGAATGCTATGCTGGAACCGGCAATGGCGCCGTGACCCTTCACCGCCAACTTGACGCACTGCGGATGGAGTGCCGGAAGCATGCAGTCTCATGTGTCTTGTTTCAACATCAGGATGCAACCCAGTCACTCCAGTGATTCTTTGTGAGACAAATAAGGGGCGAGGGCCAGGGGGGGTTCCATAAGCAATGTGAGATAGTTGTTGGCTTATAGACTTATAGCTTATGGTTTTTAACTTTCAAACCAAAAAGGCAGAGTCCATCAGGCCAGTACTCTTGAAGTCCAGTGCGCTCGGCTTTGCACTTTGTTTTGTCCTAAGGTGGGCTGTCCATACCGACTTTTGGCAAAGTGGTGACAGCCACAAGCTGCGATATTGATCCAATTGCCAGAAGCGTTTTGAAGAGCTTGCCAGAGGCCAGAGCAAGGGTCAAGCTGTCAAGGCGTCAAGCCAGTCAACATGTCCAAATGTGGTGGGGTTGAACTTCAGAACTGTTGAAAGGGCTTTGAGGAAGACAATCGCACATCTGATGCTCTGAAACTTGGGTCGACTTGACTTGGGTATCTTGTTTTCAAGACGCCAGGATTGTCGACCTCAATGTGTCCAAGGCAGCCTTATGGATCGCATCACTCCAAAAGCCAGGCTGTGCCAGATCTTGCTACAGTCTTGTATAACATGTTCCAGACTGCAACCAATGAGAATAGACCGAAAGTTGTTAGTGTCTGCATCATCAAGTCATCGGTGCCAAGTTTTTCTCAGGCAGGGTCTTGCGAAGATCAGAGAAAACATCGCTTATGAGATGGAACTTGTTCTGAGCATGGCGGCCCAGCCTTTCTATGCCACCAGCAGTCTTCACAAGCTGTGATTCAAGGGACCTGTACTGTTTTGTTGATCCACAGGCTATGATTAGATCCTGAATTGCCTTCTGCATTGAAGGTTGTCTCTCCCACTCATGTGCTAGCACACTTGGCTTTAGCTTCTCGCTTTCACATTTGTTTAATTTCTTGAGGTGGGATGGATGACAAACAGAAGCCAGTGGTGAAAAAGATATATGGAGACAAGCTGTTCCAGAAGTACGTTGACTACTTGTGCAAGGAAGCAGGGTTCCAGATGTTGCACTGGGGATCGGACTTGGCTACATGTGGTCATGGTTGCAAGTAAAACTTGCACAGTTTGCATTTTTCATTTTTAATGAGTGAATATGCTGCATCATGCGGGATGGCAGTGTTGCAAGCGGTTTTTCATTGGCGCCACAACCACGAGCCAGGACAGCAGTGTGTTCGTGGACTATGTCCCGTGCTACAGCCACATGGTTCCTGATGACGATGAATGCTTGACGGCTTCGCTTCCAGATGCTGGCACTGGCAAGAGACAAAAGGTCAAGGTCAATGCGAAGCTGAAGGCAAAACTGAAACCTGGACATTGCCTATCGCCAGTGGGATTCTTGGCAAGATTGGTAAGCGAGCTGCGGCGAGCTGACAGGAATAACTTGAACAGAGGCCAATTCAGAGCACAATCGCACATGTCAACTTCAAACCTCCCAACTCTTTTCACAAGTGGCTCTGGAGAGTGTGGTTTGTGACACATGGGCCTTTGCTCTGCTCGCTTCGAGGAAGAGCCAGGCAACTAAAGTTGCTCAAGGGCAACGCCAGACTAGGAGCACAGCCTGAGCGCACAGCAGAGCCTTTTGGCCTTGGCAGCCACATCCTCCGAGTTGGGGTGGCAGGTTCAACCTGCAAGGACATATCCACATTTGGATGCTTGGTGCATGTGGACGTCAAGACTTTTGTTTGGAGTCTTGATTTGGCTGGTAGGCCCTGTAGGCATGGCATTAATATGCATGGGCATTTGGCATATGTTATCAGTGCCAAGAGTTTCTAGGGTATGCTTTGGCGTGGGGCCGTGGGGCTTACTTTATTTATCCCTGCAGCAGCCCGCCCATAGTGAGGAGCAAAGAAAGGACACTGGGGCGATTCAGGAGAAGTGCTTGCTGTGTGGTTCAGTGAGCGGTATTGGGCCATGGATGCAGCTAGGCAGCAGGTTGTGGCAGGAGCTGACATTTTGCATCATGGTTGTGCTTTGCTTGATCTTTCATCTTCCCCTTTAAGTCTATTGATTCATTTTCCAGCTTGGGCTTGAACTACTAGCTGCCCTTCTGACTCCGATTCACGGCCTTGTCACTTGTCTCTCTCAGGATTGGATTGCCCATGAATGCACATCATTGTTTGCGCGCCACTTGTTTCCATCGATTCTTGGTGATTGGGATTGGCGCTGGCCGACATCTTCAGGAGAATCTCCAGAACCAATGGATCTCACGCCAGCGCAATTCGGATGGCCAGCAAGCAGAGGGCGCTGTTACACGGTTCTCCTTCAGCAAATGCAGCATTATTTGTGATTGTAATTGTGGTTGAGTTGAGTTATACTTACATAAAATATATTCAATATAATTCTATATAATCTGAATATATATATATATATATTTATCATTAAACCAGACTATATATATTTTTATAATATACCCTAAACAACCCTAAACCCAAAGCCTTGTTTTAAGATACAATAGATTTACAATATATATATATATATATATTCAATAAATATTTGATATATAAAAGAGATAGATAGATAGATAGATATATATATAAATATGTTCAATGTAATATAAGTAAATAAATAAATAAATAGATAAATAAATATATATATATGGATTTAATTGAAAATATATGTGAAATAAATGTAAAATACAAAATCTACACAATATATAACACATATGATATGGAATAAATATCTTATATTCGCATATTGTTTTTACCAAATATCTTTCATGTATATAAATAATATTTAATATATGCTATATATTTACTTGGTAAAATATATTATCTATATTTCTTGTAAAATATAGTATAGTATAATATAATATAATATAATATATAATTTAAAATAACATAATATAATTTAATGTAATACAATTTAATATAGTATAACACTTAATCATTGTGATATAGTATAATTCAACATGATATAGTAAAATATCATTTAACATAAATTCATGTTATGTTTTACCACATAATATTCAGATATCTTGATATATATATATATATACATATATATGGACATTTCGATGCAATTGGGTTGCCAAAATGAACCGGGTTTCCAAAATCATGGCCCAATAGGCCCAACATGACCACTGTCAGACACCAAATTTGTGTACCAAAACCCTGACATTTGCGCCCCACAAATATGGGAATATCTGGCCCAACATAGGCCCACCCAACCATCCGAATACCCCAACATAGGCCCAACATAAGCCCAACATCGGCCTAACACAGACCCTGACCATCGCAAACGTGACTCCATTGTGGCCAACATGACCGCTGTCAGACACCAAATTTGTGGGGCACCAAAACCCTTCCTGCCCCACATATTGGGAATATCTGGCCCAACATAGACCTACCAAAACCTCCATATGGCCCAACGTGGGGCCAAACATAGGCCCAACATGGGCCCCAAATGGTCCAACACAAGCCCAAGACATGAAAAAGATTGGCTTTGGCAACCCGGTTCGTTTTCGCAACCCAGATGCGGAGATTTTTTTTATTTATAATAGATGTTTACATGTTATATATTTAATATATATTATTGTATATTTCATACATACACACATATATATAATATATATAATACTGTATTTTTATTTAATAGTTTGCAACGACTTGCACTAAAGCTGTGGATGGCACAATTACAATTTCAACTTGAATTCAAGGCGCAACTGCTAAAAAGGTTGAAGCAGTGATGTTCAGTCCGAAGTTCCAAGTTCCAGGCTCCAGGACTCCAGGCACTCCACTCACCCCAGGTTCCTTTTTTTCCCACATGCATTGCGCCCTTTGCCCGATCTAAGGCAGGGATTCTTCGATGCAGGGGTGCTTTTCCAGACGATGGCATTGACTTGATCAAGCAGCTCTTCCGGAAACCGGTGCTCAGCGTGCACCACTTCATGGTCGCTCCAAAGGCTTGGTTGGTAGCAGAACATCTATAAGATGTGTATCTGTGGACTTGGACTTGGACATGACTTTGTGTCTAGACATTGGGTTCAGATTGGGTTGCGTGGATGCATGCCCTTGCCACTATTTGCCAATGACTTGGTGCTTGTGGCCCATGGCCCTAATCCTAATGCAACCGTTTGTTTGGGCAGGAGTCTGTGGAGGAAGAGCGGCTTCGCTCTTGCAAAAGGCTTTGCCTACCTCCGACGACGCCCTTCAGCAAGCTCCTTCAAGGACAGAATATGGGGACATGGGCGCCGTGTTCAAATAGTTTAAACGCTAGAGAGTTGATTTGATCCTGGACAACTTGCAAGTTGCACAAAGAGGATCCTCTTTCTTTTAGGCATCCGCTGTCCAAATCCAAGTCTTCTCCTGACTCTCCTCTGTCATCTGTCATCTGTCTGACTGTCCTCCCCTTTCCTCCTGAAAATCACTGATGCAGCTGCAGCGGCCTGGCAGGAAGCCAAGCTACATGGCTGGGGGCATACAAAGGACTTCCGAAGCTGCAGCTTGCCAAGGAGGAGTCAGCCATGTGCAACCTCTGTCAGAATCCGTACAAGATTCCTGTGTGTGGCATCTGGGCGCCGGCGCTGCTTCGAGGTGGTAAACTCTGGGTGCTACGTCCAGATCCACCAGAGAATGATGCAGTGGAAGAAAGGTGGCTTCTCCCCGATGAGCACCTCATCATCATGGGGATCCCACAATACGCTGCTCTCTGTGGAACTCATGACCGTCACCCCCACATCGGAGTTCAGCTGGCAGCAGGCGCAAAGCGAAGCCTGGCCGGAAATGTGCCTTGCTCAAATATCTCATGAGTCATCGTGATTTTCGGAGTCATGAGTCATGATCTCCTTTATCGTGCACAATTCTTTCACACACAACTTTCTCACACACAATTCTTTTATTCATCGATCCTTCACCATCACCATCTCCTTTGTCTTTCCTGCTTTGTCTGTCGGTCCTTTAATTTGATATGTGTACTTTTTTTTGGTGTGTTCCTTTATTTTTACGTATGTGTTGCTTACAACTTGTGAGTGTGTGTGAGAGAGAGAGAGAAGGAGGGAGAGAGAGAAGGGAAGGACAGGGAAAAAGAGTGAAAAGAAGGGGAAACAGACAGAAAGAGAAAGCGAGAGAGAGAGAGAGAGAGAGGGGTTGACGGTTGACCATGTCATTGTTCTTTCAGAGAACTTCTGAATCCTGTGACGTTGAGGCCATGCATGCTGCAGTGATCGGATCCTTTTGGTGCGCTTTCGCTTGCAGTGCTTCTCTCCACCAACAGCAGCGCTGGCGAGATGGCGAAGAAGCTGTTTGTCCATGGCCCTCGTTCGCACCTCCGGAGTGAAACCGCAGCCCAATGTGCGGTAATTTTCAGAGCAGAGACTTTGCCAGGGGATGTGCAAAACAAATAACTGGCGGCCTGGTGGCAGCCTGGGCCTGGGCAC